TGGAAGGAGTAGAAATGAATGAAAAATGAAGCAAACAGCTACTTATAGGGAGGATATCACGGCCAAGAGAGAGTTCAAGGCCTAAGAAGGGTTCACGGCCATGAACATAGTTTGCGGCCGTGAACCTCACTTGGTGAGGTTTTATGGCTCGAATGTTGATCTAGGCTCTCGGTTCTTACGTGGTTCACTTCCTAACACGCAACCCTTATGTTATATTGGTCTAGAAACCTATAAGTTTGACCTTAAGTTGATGTGTTTGACCTTACAAGATAGAAATTTTTGGGTTGTGACATCATCCCCCCGTTAGATGGAATTATTAGGTTTTGAGCATTCTAACACTCCTATGGTGTACATGCAACCCTAGAAACCTTGGATCTATGTTTTACTAATAGACATGCAAAATTGATTTCCAAGGTCTTCTTTTTTTTTAACTATCTGCATAGCATGGGAAACTTTAATTATAATGCTGAAGAAGAACATACCTTTTGTGGTTTGGATCCTGAGAACCTTCTGACCTAGCACCTAAGTGTGATGCCTCAAATGTCTCACACAACACCACAACACTTGGAATGATCTTGAGAGAAGTTCACTTACACCTCAAAATCGGCTTGCCCTTCTTTCTTGTACATGTAGTAGTCATAGTCCCGATTTTGCTTGCATGGGGTTCTTTATATAGTTGTGGCACAAGTAGGGTTACACCATGTAAACCCTAATTGTCATGGCTTTCCATATTCCATGATCCATGGGTTTGTAAGCTCCAGGATTATCCATGGAGCCACCTTATGGGTTTTAACCCAATCCATACAAACCATGGATCATTAGCCCACTATACAAGAATTGATGAATTACACAATCAACCCCATATATTTAATTAGTCTCCATTTGATCACTTAATTAATTCCAAATTAATTCTTTGATCAATACTAATTAAATATATTATTAAATATATTTGAACTTATAATATATTAATAATCCTTAAGTGTCATTTCTCTCATTTAGGTCTATCCAAGTGTTGCAATGCCATGCAACCCACTGGACCCATGCCAACCGGGTCAAGTACATTCCAGGAATAGTCTATGAACTTCGACACCTAATCCACAGTCTTCCCACTTGGATAAGTCTAATAACTATAACTGCAAGAATACGACTTCATGAACCGATCAGCAATCGTAGCTCTTTCAAGGTCTCGCGAAACTGAGATGATGATGATACGCCATTTAAGATAAGTGATCATATAATCCTCTGTTCTAGATATCAGCCTGACAAATAAATGGAACAATGTCTTACTTATTGTCCAGCAGTTTGTTTCCGATTTATGATTTTGTTTTGACATAGAACTTATTTGAACACCTCAACTTAGTCTGATCGGGCCGGTACATAGGTCAACACAAAATCATAGAGGGGCCCAGAGATATCGCTTCTAATCCAAGAAGGAATAGATAAACTTCGACTCAGATGCTTGTTCTACTACTTTTTGAATCATACACAAAGGCACGTTTTATAACATCGAGTACCAATGCGTTTTCGTACAATCAATTATAACCAAACTCATAGGCCACAAGGTCATATCTCTAGGTTGAAGACGTATATGATATTACCGTCTCGCGATCACTGAGAATAAATTCCATGAAGTGTTCAGCGAGCGTGGGTTGAATCCAATACTCAAAACTTATGAAGCACTCATGAATGTTACAGCAACTCTTGCTATGTCCCATAACTTGGACATCTTACAATCCACTTCATGACAGTCTTGATTCATATCTACTTCCAACATATGAACGACTGTGGATGGTTAAATAACTTAGTCATTTGGGAAGAATGACTAGTTTATTCTGGAAGTCAAAACATGCAAAGTGAAACACAAGAATAATCGAATCACATATGGTCTCAGAACTTATGAATATAAATAAACACATCTTTTATTTATCACCATATGATTACACATTATTCATTGCATACTGTTTCAAACTATCAACTTTATACTTGAATTAAAACAATAGTTGTCCCATGCTCCAAGCATGTACACTATGGTTTTTTTCTAAACACTAGTCATGACATACACCAAGTATGCATATTATGTTTTTCCAAACATTAGTTATGCCATACACCAAGTAATTCACACTAAGTTGTCTATGATCTTTACTTTGTGAAATAGATCGATTTGGACATAATTCCAATGATTCTCATTTCCAACCCCAAATCCTTTATCGTAAATGTAGGAATTCTAAATTCCTACCATTTACTGAAATCTGTTAGATTCTAAACTCATATGAATTGTTCTTTTGTAATGATTATGCACACTAGTCACAAAGACTGCCAACAACTTACAGGTATTCCAACGGAGATCACTCCATGGAAACGAAGTCTCAAATTCAAAGTACATTCCTTTGAACATCCTTAATGCATTCCGTTTCCTAATCTTACACAGAATTAATGAATAACTTCCATCTACGGGAACATTTCCATATTCCTATTTTGACTATCACTCCTGAACAAGAGTTGCCTCTTTTCAGAATATCCAAATGGTCCTTCCAAAATAAACACTCTTACTTCCAACTATCCCTGAGCAACCAACTTTGGTAAACCTTAGATTGTCCTCGACAATGCTTAATCATATTGGTCATATCTAGTTCTAGTACTTTTCCCTCTAATGCTCTTGGCATTTGGAAAATTTAGAACAGATGAATATTATAGCACATGCAATCGATCCTAATCCGAAGCATATGGGACATGATTCATGATGTCCACATAAGACATGATACTGGACCAGTCCTTTTGCTATAATTTTCTATTTCTATTTTCCAAGTTCTCATAATTCAGATTATGAAAAGGGATGTCGTAATCATAATCGAATTTTAGAACGCAAATAATGGACCCATATATAGAATTTCCTTGTGTTGAGACATTCCAACATAGAATTCATGTAACACCCTGTTTATTTAATAAATAAATAGATAAAATTTATGAAAGAGTAGTAGCCCTGAAATCCGTATTATTCAGTGAGATGTTGGTTTTGGGAGCTAAATGTTATAATTTTAAGAGATTGGGGGTTAAAGGTGTAAAATCTGGAATTAATTTGTAAGTATTAATGAAGGCAGGGGCTACTTGGTAAAATAAGGGACTTATTTTGTAAAGGAATTCCATGGATGGGGTTGAAAAGGTAAGTTATGTACTTAGTTTGAAGAAGAAGGATGATAGCGGGGCTGTTGTGGAATGCCCATTATGGCAAACAATTTGGAAATGGACGGGAGTATATAAGGCACCATTGCCTAACCCTAACCCTAAACGGGAGGAGACTCCTCCAACCGCCAGCCCCCTTCCTTGCTCTCGGACGCCGCCACCACCACTCATGAAGTCGGAGCCAACCCGTCTACGCCGGAAAGAAAGCTAGGCCGTCGGAGGTTGACTTTGTGGATCGCCGCCGTCGTTCCCCGAGCAGTTACGTCGCCGCCGCCCTTCCATCTTCCTCATATGCCGTCGTCTTCATCTTCTGGCATGCGACGCTCGTCGTCGGTGCTACTCCAACCGCCATCGCTACCTTCTGCCAGTGGAAGTCGTTGTGGAGTCGCTACCATCGCGGAAAGCCGTTGTTTCCCGCTATCTCGCGCCACCGCCGCCCCAGCGGCTGTTCCCTTTCGCTGCCGACCTCCATCCACTGCACGCCACCAGGTGGGGGCTGTTCAATCTAGAGTGCGAAGTTGTTGCTGATTATGTTGTTATGTGGGCGTGATAGGCTACTCGGAGATCAAGAAAAAAAAACCACCATAGCCGCCGACCATGGTGGTTGCTGCCCTGAAACCGTTTTCCGCCACCACAGGCAACCGTGAGGTGGTGGCTGTGAGAGTAAATCCCTAGATCAGTGCGTTTTGAAGTTGGTTGCTTAGTGATTTTCCAGAAATCATAAAAGCCACCACTGCCACCACCGTGAGGTGGTGGCTGCCGCCATGCGCCATCGTCGACCACCATTAGGTGATTGTGTGTGTGAGATTAGCTTAGTGAGTGTGTGTGTGTGTGTTAATTGATAATTTTATTGTAAGATGTAATTAGAAATTGAGATATATAAAAGAAATTGAAAACCACCACCTTAGGGTGGTGGCTGCCGCCACCGGCCGTCGTGTCGGGTGGCGGTGTGCCTTGTTGGATCGTGACTCGTTTGGAATGTTTGGACAAAGGGACTAAGAAACCCTAATGGGCCCAATAAGGCTTAATGGGCTTAATACACCCTAATGGCCCAATGAAGCTTAATGGACCTAAAAGCCCAAACAGATGACTAATGAGTCTAATGAACCTTAATTGATCAAAAGACATATCAATTGGGCCTATTGGGCTAAGATGGGGTTGGAAACCCTAATTAGGGTTAGAAAACCTAATATTGGATTTATGGGCTGGACTTATTGGGACCCCCACTTTTTGGGCCATTGGAATGGCATTGTGTGATTAAGATTTAAGCCCAATCACACCATATGACTTATTAGAAGAATGATGGGACTTAATGGATTAAGTCCTAATGGATTAAGTCTTTAATGGGTTAAGTGAGAAACACTTAACTCTAATCGTCATTTTATGTGAAAACCCTAATTTCACTTGGGTTTATTGTTGGGCCTTTCTATTGGGCCTTGATGATTGGGTTATTAATAAGCCATCCAAAGTCAAGCAATTGGACTAGAATACTTTAATGGGCCTAGGGTAAGGCCCATGTAAGGGGTTTGGGCCCAATTTGGAAAATTGGGCCATAGATGGGCCACCGTTTGGGCCTTAATGATTATATGATGTTGGGCCTTATGGTAAGACCTTGTAAAGGTTTAGGCCCAATTTGGAAAATTAGGCCATATGTTGGGCTGTGACTCATGGTTGGCTTTTGGGCCTATGGATTAGGCATTGGGCCTGAAGAAAGCCAAGCATGGGGTAATGTAGTAATGACCCAAGAACGTACTTATGATTATGTAGTGGAACCCAATTATTAATTGGGTGATGTTTGTTATTGACAGTTCGAGAATTTTTCATCCAGCAGATGGGGTTGAGCCTGCAGGACTTCAGCAGTGTGGGATTGTGTCTACGGGACTTCAGCAGTGTGAGGTGAGTTACCTTCCAGTATCGGTGGGTCTACGGCCACAATGTCGGCCCACCAGTAGGAGTTGCATGTTAGGATGATTGTCTTTTGATATTTCATCTAGGTTTGCTACTACCTGATATGTTATATGCTGGCATGATATGTTATATGTGATAGTGGTAGTAGGGGGAGAATAGTCCCCAAGTTCGGTTGTTAGGACCGAAGGGTAGGTCGGACACCCCATATATGTCTGACAATATGTTATGATATGTTTATATGCTGGCATGATATGTTATATGTGATAGTGGTAGTAGGAGGGGAATAGTCCCCAAGTTCGGTTGTTAGGACCGAAGGGTAGTTCGGACACCCTAGATATGTCTGATAGTATGTTCATGTTATGATATATTATAGTGATAGTAGCAGTAGGGGGTGGAATAGTCCCGAGGTTCGGTTTGTTAGGACCGATGGGTAGGTCAGCACCCCAGAAACGGCTTGACATGGGTAGGTCAGCACCCCAGAATGGCTTGACACACCCCAGAATGGCTTGACACGGGTAGGTCGGCACCCCAGAATGGCCGTACCGGGTAGGTCGGCACCCCCAGAATTGCCCGACAGTATGTAGGTTATGTGATTGTATGGTAAGTGGTATGATGGGGGAACTCACTAAGCTTCGTGCTTACGGTTTACAGTTTGGTTTCAGGTACTCGTTTTTCAAAGGAAAGGAGTTGCTTGATCGCAGCGCATCACACTATGTTTTCCACACATGAGATCTTTGGGATTACACTCTGATATGGTTTTATGATAATATGTTTTGATTACTGACACTTTGGTTTGACACGGAGATATTGTTATGAATTTTTTTTATACTGATGGTTTTTATGTATAACTTATTTAAAAATAAATTTTTGGCCTTGAATTTGGGATGTTACAATTCATATATATATATATAATATTATATATATATATTATAATTATATATATATTATATATCCTTGACCAAAGATGATTAAAACCTCAATCTAAGCTTTAGAATTGAAATGAAGTATAATTTCCTCTCCCTTAATTATAGCAAAACAACTTTTTCCCAATTGAAACCTTTTGTTTTCTATAATTAACATTGCTAACTTGCAACACTTATTAAAATTATCATGCTCCCACTTGCATGATGATTATTAGCATAACACTTATGCTCCCACTAGCTTTGACATGTACTCGGAAATCAGCTAGACTTCTAGAAATCAATACTTTATTGACCTTCTTACCAAAGTTCATATTTATGATACGAGATGCTTTGATAAAATTTTATCAAAATCATACACCTTTCCTTAGATAGCACACATGTGTGTCTAAACAATTTCAGAACTATGAAAAGGGATGTCATAATCATAGTCTCAATTGTTTAGACCTTTGCCATTTCTCACAAGTCCATGTTAGTGTGCCGGTTAACCACACACGCTCCACTAACGACTTTGAGAATGCAAATATCACAATTGATATCTACTTAAAATCTACTTAGTGAAAGTGTTTCCTCACCATCATTTTCACGAATCGGAGAGAAACCTTATGACAGTTAGATTTTATGGTGTATGTGTTCCTATCCATGTGAATTTGTCAAACCATAATCACCAGACAAGGTTAGTGACAAATCCAAACTCATATGGATTGAACTTGTGCAGTCTCAACTTCTTGCCACCTGGCAGCACAAGGGCCTGCCAATGCTTCCAAGTTGTTATGCAACCAATTGAGAACTCTCAGAACTCATATGCAAAGCCAAATTTAGCTGGAATAGACATAGAACCAGGAATATGTCAACACGATAGGTTATAAACCTCACGTCGTGTGCTAGTGATAAACTACAAGTTTTTATTCTCGAATAGAACTTTGAAGTTTTTCCAAGATCTTTAAGACTCCCAATGTCCACTTGAAATATAAGATTCACTTGCCAAATATTCAAGAGATAGTGCGGTTTCTTAATCAAAACAAACACTTCACACAATTGGCCTTAGTTGGTCTTTGTTTTATCCAAAACATCACAACTTACCAACTTCAAATGTACAAGAGTAGGACTCATTTTACTCTTACATTTGACAAGTGTTATAAACCTTTCTTTAAGATATGTCACTCAAGTTACAATCTTGGAGTATGAATCTAAGAATTGTTCTGGAACGAAGTATGACTCATCTTCTTGATTTAACCATTTCAACAATTCATGATTCCTCTTCTTAGCCATAGGAATGCACTAAGATGTCCTTAGAGGACTAATTGTAATATGATTTCTAAACCATTAAGATGATCACAAAACATGATACTAAAGTACTCTCCCATCTTTTCAGATTTGAGAAACTTTTATCTTTCTACCTAATTTGATTCTTCACATTCGTCCTGCCATACATCGAAACTTTTCCAATGTTTTCAGGATTATACTTAAACTGGTAAGTATAACCATATTTACTAAACTTTAATAAATCATGACGAATAGTTTTATTGATCTTTTTGTGGTGGACTTAACCAGTACACAAGAATGTGTACTTGATCCCTTAGTCCTTCACTCGACTCACATATACATGTGAACAAGGAATTAGTCTTAATTTTCCAAAGATGAAAAATTATCATTCATCATGCACTACAAGTTGCATGATTCCAAGTTTCTATCCAACTGAAACTTGGGTGATGAGAATGTTTCCTTATTTGGTAAATTTAGACACTACCACAAAAGACAGGATCAAATCCATTTTTCCAATGTTGCTATCAATGGAATCATATAATCAACAATTTTTCACAAATGTCATTGTAAGGATATTTAAAATAAATAAAATCAAACATTTTTTTTTATTTTAAAACTTGCGGAAAAACTTATCCTTACAATGCAAATGCATATGAAAACAATGTTGTTATCTATTCCTAAGCAATCTATCACAACTCTTAAGCAGCAGCTCAAAAATTCTGATCACCGAACCATGCGATCGAAATCCATCTTCGCGATCAGAATCAGCTTACTCTTCTTTAAGCTTCCTCTCTTTTCTTTGATTCTTAAAACTTCAACATGTGACCCAGTCACATCATGTAATAAGAATCTCCAAATAGGAACTTAATAGAGTTAGATAGTGGACTTACCTGAAGCAGAGTCAAACTTTTGACTTGACCTTCTCTCAGATCTTTCAGGTAGTTAAGGCAGCTTCGCAGCCAATGCCCCTTCCTTTGGCAACAGAAACATATGGACCCTTTGGGAATGGAACACAGAACTATCTCAGACTTAGCCTTTCTCTTTACCATTTGGTCAACTGAGTGGACTATGGTCGATCCCTTTCCATTGGGAAGAAAAGGCTTTTCTAGATATCCAATGTTACCAATTGTCAATGTCCATGGTAGTTTAGGAAGTTGATCTACTAATCAAATTTGCTTTACCAGAGCTCCAAATCATTGCTGATTCAGCTGCACCAAGCAAATAGATAAGATCATTAGGGTCATGCCATAGTCTGTTACATAGTAGTCCCAAAGGAACTCACTCTGTGTGACTAAGAAAGTGATTGGACAACCAACTTTCTCAAGACTTTGACACCCAACTCTCCCGGCTTGTTAATATGTGACTTTATCTCCAAGATGTGAGCACATATAGACCTTCCTTTCCGATAGGGCTTGAGTGACCTTGAACTATTCA